ACCCGGGTCGGGGGGGGCCCCCCCCCCCCCCCCCTCGGCAATCAATCCGAAGAATGAAAGACATCACGAAACCATAGCAAGCAGAGTTTTGATTCCTCGGGGCGGAAGATAAATAGCCGTCGGGTGGCTTTCCCCGGGGGTCGATCAGGAAAGTTCCGCTTCGTGTGTGGGACTCGTAGGCGGGATGTTTGAGAGAAAAGATGGAGGGATGCCTTGAACAACACGAAGCGGGATTTCCTTGGAAATGCAGGAAAATTTTCAGGCCATCAAAAGGGGAATGCAGGATTAAGTCGAAAATTTTCCGATGAAGAATCGGAAATTTGTTTTAAAATTGTTTGCAGTGCACCGCGTAGCGTCGAAGTCACGACCTTTGCGAGTTTCGCAAACCAACTCGTTAGCAAGAAGTAAAGGACAGAAAGTCCCGGTTCGTACCGGACGTCTGAGGGGAAGGAGGGCGATAGTAGGAACTCGTATCTTCTCCTCCTTCCTCCCCCTTCTTCGCCCCGGATGCAGTGAGGCTCCTCCTGCTTCCCGTCCTCCTCTTACATCCTTCATAACTTGCATTCTTCCTCCCCAGTGCTTCCCGATCGCGCCTCAGTCCCGTGATGAGACCCGCCCTCTCTCTCTCCCCCTTCAGATGGATCTTCGGTCGTGGTTCCTCCTCCTCCTCCTCGCCTTCGCCTGTCTCTGCCTCCCCGGTAGGGCCTCGCCTCGCTTCCCGGAGCCCTGCCCCCCCTGCTGCTTCTCCCAGCGTCGAGTGAAATGCCTCAACAGCTGCGAGTGCGACTCCCGCTCCAGGCAGTTCAAAAGGCCGTCCCAGTTTTGGAGAAGGTGAGAGCTTCGGTGAGAGCTTCGGACTGGAGTCTCGACTGGAAGAGGAAATCGGACTCGGGGAAAGAGAGGGAGAAAGAGGAATCTTCAAAACTCCAATTTCCAATATTAAATTTTTTCCCCCAGTGAATTGTCGTTTCCATTCTGGAATCTCTTCGGATCGATGATTCTGGCAACGCTTTGGATCGAATTGGTTTGAAATGAAGTCCTTCTGAAAATCGAATCGTTCTCATGATTATGGAAAATAAAAGTACTGCGTTTGGTACTTTGTGGTACTTTGTACAGGAGAACACAATCTTCGCGTTTCTGGATTCTCTTGCAATGTGGTTGGAGCAGAGAGTGGGTCGAACCTGCGTGAGGGTGGGTCGAACCTGCGTTGAACCTGTCGTTCCTGTTCCGGTCGAACCTGTTGTTCCACGAGGGTAGAAATCAATGTAAAATACCATTGTGGACCTGAATGGGACGCGGCAAGAAATCCTCATCAATTTCATAATACCTTCCTTAATCCTCCTTCCTCATCCGAATTTTAAGACTGCAACACCTTTAATTTAGAAAGACAAAGGTAAACTGCATGATTGCGAAAGCCATGGGGCTGTCGTTCGGTCCAGAAACTCTTCTCACACAAAATTAAATACAGTCGGTTGTCGAACCAGTTGACGTTCGTAGCGGCGGTGAAAAACTTGCAGCCCGGTTCGAGAAGCAAATAAAAAACACACGGAATCCTCTTCGGTGATTCCTTTCGCAAATGACGCCGCGTCGTGTGGTCTCGTGTTTTATATTGTTTATCTCAGTTGAGGGACACGCAGCGTATCTCGTGACGAGCAGGACCGGCTCCTTTCGCTTCGGAGAATCGGGAAACGAAAGCGAGATAAAGGGAAAAGACCTTGAAAGGGTGACCGTGGAAACGACGACGTGTTTCTTTCTCGCGCTGATTCCGACTGGATGTGAACGGCCCTTTCCTCTGTGACCTCCTAATTCGCGGTGTTAACTGTTTGCGCCTGCAGATGGCTCTGCAGTCGTGGTTTCTTCTCGCCCTCGTCTGTCTGCGTTGGTGCAGCAGGGAATCGGAAGGAAATGAGGAGCTGTGTCCGCCTTGTTGTTACGAGCGTTATCCCGTGCGCTGCCGGCACGCCTGCGCGTGCGACCGCTTTCGAAGGACGGTCTCGGGTGGACGGGGAAATTCCGATCTCGTTTATTCAGACGAAGAGAGAAGACATCAAGTCTAGACGACAACTACGAAGTTTTCGTGGATTCGGAGGGGATGAGAAGGGAATTCGCGATGGAACTAAAAAAAAGGAACTAGAGGAATCTTCTCATAGGTTCCCTCTTCGATCTTGATGGAGTTCCATGGCCTCGAACAGTGCCTTGATGTTCCCCACTCCGAAGCCCTGGATTCAAGGACAAAATTCCCATTTTTCACACAAATCACATGTGGCTCTCGTGCCGGAATCCCTGCAAAAACAAACTAGTGGATCGAGTCGAGATATGGTAGATGGAGAGTGGAAGAGTGGTATTTGGAACTCTGATGTGGTGATTGACAATAGAAGAGTGATGTTTGGAACCCTGACGTTAAAATATATATATAAATATCCGCGATGCTTTTTGGAGTCCTACTGTGGTAGTTTGAGATCGTTGTCTTCATGTTTCTGGATTCCCACGCAATGGGGTTGTATCTCTGGGTGATCTCGAGGAGAGGGTGGGTCGGCCCTGCACGAGGGCGGGTCGGCCTTGCATGGGCTGCAGGTGTAGATTCGTGTTTGTAGCGTACTTGGCATTCGATAACGGTGAACATAATTCGGAATTAACGCTATTACTTATTTTTGAATGAAGATATACCATATAATATTGTGCGCCCAAATGGTACATGTCATTAAATTTTCAATTATCCTCTTCTTCCTAACCAGTAATCCAAATAAAACGTTTTATAAGACTTCAACGTATTAAATACGAAAGAACCAAAGGAAACCGCACGTTTGCGAGAGTCTATCGCTCTGTCTTTCTGCCAGGAAACTATTTCTCATAAAAATTAAGTAAAATAGGTTACAAAAGTTCAGACACCAATCGAGCGTAGAATCAATCGATTTCCGTAGTCGCAATGAAAACCTACAGACCAGTTCGGAAAATGATCAGAATCCTCTTTGGGGATTCCTCTCGCAAACGACGTCATGTCGTGTGGTCTCGTGTTTTCTCTTGTTTGCCTCAGTTGAGGGACACGCAGCGGGATCTCGTGACGAGCAAGACTGGCTCCCTTCGCTTCGGAGAATCGGGAAACGAAAGCGAGATAATAATGAAAGACCTCGAATGGGCGAGAGAGAAAAGGAGGACGCGCTCCTTCCTCGCGCCGATTCCGACTGGATGTGAACGGTCGTCGTGCTTCCTGTGTCATCCTAACCGGCGACGTGTTTCGTTTTACCCTGCAGATGGCTCTGCAGTCGGGGTGCGTTCTCGCCTTCGGCTGGCCGCGTTCGTGCAGGGGAAATTCCGATTTGATTTATTCAGACGAAGAGAGAGAACAAGACGTCTAGATGAGAGTCGCAACTACGAAGTTTTGGTGGATTCGGAGAGGATGGAAAGGGAATTTGTGATGGAACGGAAAATGAGGAAAGAGAGGAATCTTCTCAGAGGTTTCCTCTTCTCGCTTGATCCAGTTCGATGGCTTCGAACAGTGACTTGAAGTTCCCCACCCCAAAGCCCTGGATTCAAGGACAAAATTTCACTTTTTCAGTCACATGACATGCAATTTCCATGCCCAAAGAATTACATGGAAAAAGCGGAAGCCTTTTGAATGCTGAAGCAGAGTGGGCGTTGAGAGAAGATGTGTGGTGTATGGAACACTGATGTGGTAGTTTGAGAAAACATTTGATGTATGGAACTCTTTTTTTTTGTTGGTAGTTGGAAATGGAAGTGTGATGTTTGGAACTCGGACGCGGAAAATGAGAAGAGAAACGCGAGGCCGGTCTCGTGAGGAGGTCGAAGGAGGCGATCGCGGTGGATGCACTCACGTTGTGGTTGTGTCTCTGGATGATCTCGAGGAAGAGGGTGGGTCGGTCCTGCATGGGCTTCGTGAAGATCTGCAGCAGGTAGCCCTCGTCGTCGTAGTCCACCAGGATCCCCAGCTCCTAAGCGAGGGCAATCGGGCGATTATGCTTGCGGTGGGACTGGCTTCCGATGGCGATTTCTCGTGAAAATGATTAGCAGTCAATAATTAACAAAAATATTGAGCATTAAATAATGAAAAAATGATAAATATTAAAAGTCATTGATTCATTCTAATTCCTACGGTACTTTCACTATGACGGGATTCTTTTCTGCTGTACAAATTAGGGAATATTTCTTATGGAAAAATGTGAAAAACCTATATTTTTGTCCAGTTATCCCAGTGGTAAATAACAATGAATAGCAATAAATAATAAAGGAGGGATAGGAAGTAACAATAGTAATATTTAAATAACTAAGTCATCCATGTATAAAATAACTAAATTCTTGTCACAATCATGGATTAATGGAACCTAGACACGACAAATCACGCAACCCACTGACCTGTCAACACGTCACTCCTAACAATTTTTCGAGCGAAATTTGACATGAAAACCGAACGGTTCCGCCTCTCGCAGAAGTCGCTAGCAGACGCTCCTCGTGACGTAATCACGGAGACGAGCGAATCTGCCGCGAGGCGGAGTGCGAAATGCGACTGTTCTCGCTCGGCCTGTTAATCCTTTCGCGATTTTGGATCTCTTCATGCGATTATTTTTGGCCTCGGGCTCTGTCCGTATTTCACGCTCAGTCGTGCAGCTTAGCTATGCCTGTGAAATTCGGTATGGAAACCCGAAATAGTGATTAAGCACAACAGCAAAATTGAATGAGGATTTCATTTTTGGAAAAAAAAACTAATACCTTTCTTATTACAATAAAAGTTCTTTCAGATTTCTTGAGAACTGGTCGGAATCAAGACGTCAAATTATTGTCTGCGATTCACATAAGGACCGATGGGAGAATGGCAGATATGGCTGTCAGTTTCTCACTTTTTCTAGATTATTTATCCTTTTCCGTCTGCCCGCAGTTGTCATGGCAACCGGAGAATTAGAATCAATGCGCATGCGCAGCCTTCACCCTCGGTCGGGGTGCGATTCACCTACTGGGACCGTCAGTCCCCTTCTAGCTCCCGCGGCTGACGGATCCATTGGGAATGAAGGAGGGAGAGCGGCCGCTCGCGGCGGCGTGGACAGGGTTGCTGGTCGAACCCGTGCAATGCCGCCGCTTCTGGCATCCTGCATCCTACTCTCCTTCCTATGCGACGTCTGAGGACTTTCTCGAGCTTTCCGAGACCGTTCGCGTCTACGAATGATGGCTTTTCCGGCTGGCACTCCCGACCTCAAACGTCTAAAAGGAAAAGCCGAAAATTCAACCTGGAGCCTGGAGATGTCCTCCTTGACCTTGATCTTCGCCGTCTTCAGCTTCTCTCTCAGCTGCTCGTAATAGGTGTCAGGGATGGTGAGGAACTCCGTGCCCCGTCGCCTGCAGCTCTCGATCTGAAAACGAGAGAATGAAGCCGACCGACTCCACGGCCGTCCAAGAAACGAATGGAAAACGCACGGATTTGATGATGTCTTTGGTGAAGTGGGCGATGTGCTGCACTCCGGCGCCTCCGTAGTATTCCACGTATTCCTGGATCTGGCTCTTCTTCTTCCCCTGCGCCGGCTCGTTGATCGGCATCTGACGAAGAAACCAAAATTCAATTTTCAATGCCCTTTTCCATCCAAAGTGTTTTCGCACCGTCGATTCGACCCTAGCGACATCTAGGCTTGCGCAACGCAAATAAAACGGCAAAAAATTGCGAGAAACCGTTCCCTCACCTTCACGGTTTCCTCGAAGTTGCTGACGACGATGGACCGGAGAGCGGAATATTCCGTGTGGACCTGCTTGTCGTCGACCGACCAGAATCTGTGGAACTGGAGCGTCTTCTCGTACCTGTGATGAAATTAAATGTATAAATATATATAGAATTTTAATTTTGAATTAATTGCTGGGGGAAAGGGGAGGAAACCATTTGGCGACGTCTTCCATGCAGAGGTCTGGTTGGTTTCCGACCACGTGGTCGATGAATTCCAGGCCGCAATTCGGTCTGCAAACAAGAATATTTATTATTATTAACTATTATTGATATATAAGTATTAACTCTTATTATAATTGCTAACTCCATTTTAAGCCAAGTCAGCTGGAAATGCATTTGAAAAAAAAACTTACAGTCCTTTAAGCAAGGGATCGTTAGCATCCTCGTGCTCCTTAAAGTTGGGAAGGAAATTTCCTTTGTAGGATCCTCTTTCCACGAAGGTGTGCGTCGTGTCCCCGTACTGTAAATATCGGTACCAATTATTATAATTATTAGACCCACAGAGCGTCATTGATGAGGTTTGACTTTGTGTCATGAATAAATCCGACCGTTTGGACGGTGCCGAATCTGACGGTTCCTCCTTCGTCCGTCTCCTCCCAAACGTCCCGAACGATCTTGGCTCCCCTTTCCTTTGCTTTCTGGAAGGAGCATTCCAAATCATGACAGGGAATTAGCCACGAATTTCATTACGTAATTCCATTAATTAATTTACAAACGTAATTTTTACTTTCATGATGCCGTCGAGATCCTCGACGGTGAAGGCCACGTCCTTGGCTCCGTCCCCGTGCTTCACCAGATGCGCGCCCATCTCCTCGTTCGGATGATACGGCGACTGGAAGACGTAGACCACCTGGGCACAGACGACGCGGATGACGTCACGCGAGCAGACGACAAGGGAGGCATCCACCGATGACGTCACTCACCTGCTTCTGCCTGACGGCGTGGGAGACGACATCCCTCACTCCGGTCTCCAGTCCCTTGTACCCGATGGGGGTGAATCCCAATCGGGTGCAGTAATAACTGGCGGCCTGGAAGAAACATTTTAGCATATCGAATTCGTTTCGATTCGCACTCGGAAGACCCGATTTAATCGATTTGATTAGTGCAATGACAGGGAAAAGGCATGAATCGAATATGCCGTTTCGCGGTTTCCGGTTTCCAGTGATCTGCAACAGACGCCAGCCGAATGGTTCCATCAAGTGCAATTACGAGGCGATTCGAGACACATAAACACAGTTTCTCGCTCGCTGCGTGTCAATTCTCGCGTAGACTCGATCATTATCCCTGCGAGGCCTTCAAGGCCTTCACATTCGTAATGGTGCCGGGCTGAGCCGGCTCGGAAAGGGCTTCGACGCTCGTCGGCCTTGGGATTCGCCGCGTTTGACGGTCCATCGAGCAGCCCAGTTCGATCCATCAGGAAGCACGGTGAAATGCTTTTCGATGTCCACATCCGGCTGCTTTCGGTTGATAGGCCTATAGTAGACGCGAGGGAAAGCGAGTCTTTCTTTTTTTCTTCTTCTCGAGGTAGATTGGAATTTTATTGGAGCTTCGCGACGGATCAGCTCAATTAATCCGATTCCATAGGAATCAAGGTCAACGTTCAACTCGAAACACGAGATGATGACACGAGACATGATCTCAGACATGATTTACGCCGACCTACGGCACAGACCCAAGAAAGAATCCAGATCTTATCCCTTGTTTTCTTTCTAAAGAGAACCCATCTATCGATGAAGCGCGATAATCCGAGAAAAAGAAGGGGAAAAAAAAAAGCCGGTTCCATATCAAGAGACTCGGGGCTGCTACGTGCCCACGGAAGCTGTAAAACGCAACGCGCGTCCTTGTCAGAAGGTCGCCTTGTTTACCCAACTCTTGTCACAGGTGGATGCTGATTTATCGCGTGGCTCCCGCCTGCCCCCTCCCCCTCCCAGCCCCCTCCTTGCCCCCTGGTCTCCTCTTCGCGCCCCCTGCCCCCTTTTTCCTTACCTGCTTGGCGTTCCCGACCCAGAAGGTGATGTGGTCGAAGGCGAGGAATCGGCCCCGATCAGGCTGAAATCCAGAGAGAGCATGCTCGTTATTCGCTCCCGGTCGCGAGGGGAAAAAATATTTAAAAAATGAAGATGCTCACCTTGGGTCCCTTGTCGGTGTAGGTTGTCTGAAAGATGGAAACGATATAACGTGTCAACACGGTTATGAATAATACAATGAGCGTGATAACGCATGACAATAGTTTTTTTTTCGAAATGAAAAAGAGGAAACTGTTTAATTAGGGACAGAGAAAATATATTTCTTTTCTCTTATAGTGAGATTGAGAAAAATTGAGTATTGTCAGCACTTTCTACTCCGTATGAAATGGGAGAGCCTCTGAAGAAATTATTATACTCCTTGAATGCATTACGAGGAATGCTCATAGATAAGCTTACCGATGCCATCGAACACGGAGTGCATTTTATTCCGGTCTAACGAGTTTCGAACGAGCCTCTTTGCAAACATCTTTCTACAAAAATCAAAAGCTTGTGCTACAAGTTGTAGGGAAAAAATAAAAACCTTGAACGTGACTTTTACTTTCTAGGTCGAATTTCTTTTTGTCTTCCAGCAAATATGGGGGAGTGGCATGCCGTATGAACTTGAACGCGGACAGGTGACAAACTGCTTCAAATACAAGTAACCCTTATCGTCTCCTTAGCCGAGTGCACTAGGAATAAAAAATAATTAATTAATTAACGGTGTCGCATTAGGGCGAGAGCACGCGACGGAAGCGACGCTTACGAAGAGACCTCCTCACGTACCATTTTCACGGATGCGAAGGAGAAGATCGGCAGAAGGAGCAGAACGGAGTCGACTGCGGAGGCGAGTGCGGTGTGGAGACGGAAACGATCCCCATCGGACGTGCCTATCGGCGGCTGGCATCGACGGGAAGGTCGGCCACGCCTCCCCACGCCTCCGTGCCTCCAGCGCCTTCGAGCCTCCAGCGCCCATCTCCCTTTTTTTTTTTTACGTCCCTAGAGATATCGGGAAGGGGTGCGTCTCTTCGGTTCGGTCGAGAGGGGGCTATTCAATCTCCACGGCTAATGCATACTATTATCGTGCAGAAGTCGGTGGCGTACGTGCGATTGCCGGAGTTCGCCGTGAAAGAAGTGGAATGTTAAAGATGCCCTTGTCGTGACGCTTCCTTTCGATGCGTGCTACGAGTCATGTTATGACAGCAGGAACAGATGAGGAAACACGATAATGCTCTCCTTTCGAGGTGAATCCGACGCGGCAAACGCCGTCCCATGAATAAGCAGAGGAAATTAATTAATTAACGCTTAATTCTCAGACGAAATGAAACAATAACTTTAAAACCTTCATCATTTGATTTCCACATCCAAAATGATTGGATGTGGCAATCGAGCAATTCGGAAGGTGCGAATTACTTCTCTTTCCCCACCGGGTGGGGAAAGAAAACCTATTGATGGAATTTGCTTTTTTGGAAATTCGGCCAATTGTTTTTACATTCTAATTTATTTCACAACGCGACGTTAGAAACTTGAGTTGTGCTCGCATCAAGTTAAACTTGTTTCTAGTTAAGTAATTACTTTAACCTTGAAATAATTCTTTTTTTTTACAAATGAATAGTTATGGATGTCTAACGAGCATGTTGATGCGACAATGCAAGCTCAACTTGGATTGTTTTTTACTTCGTGCTGAGAAAGAAAAATATTGCTTAATTGCTGTTATTCATATTTCCATTGAGTATATACTGCTGTCAGAATAGTACTATTCTGATACTAGTAAGATAATGCAATTCATCCTCCAGAAGGCATTAGCACGTTCTAATTTGTACCCACGCCAAATAAAAATGGATGAACTTCTTTTTTGGTACAGCCTCTAGAATGTGATGTTCTAATAATCGTAAGTGCACTCTCCTTCTATGAGTTTTTTTTTAAATAAAACGTAGACTGGGACGGACATACACAGACAAGGACAAATGCCACAAGCGGCAACACAGAGTGAGAGGAAAGGAAATTTTATATCAGACATCCCTGACGGCATTGCCTCACTTTCCCACGCTTCCTGTCATAATGTATCCCGTTTTCACGGGCCCGGGGAAGGTGGTGGCAACTTCGATGCCGCTCTGGCCATAGGCCTTCCATCGCTGCACATCGGGCCGTCAAGGCCGATGTGGCGGGTGCTATTGAGGTGCACCAAGTACCTCTCACGCAATGAAGCATAGAGTGCTTCAGCTCAAGGGAGAGCAGTTAGTACCGGAAATCAGCCGGGTGAAATGTCGGCCCAGGATGCCGGTCGGATTCGAACCTGGACCTCCCGCCTGCGCCCGGGCCCCTTATCCACTGAGTCACGGTGACGCGGTTCTCCTTCGATTAGTTTTTGCGGCTGACCGTGAAATCCGTGGAAGCAGACGATGTCAAATCGATGGGGGGCCATTCTTGCATTCTGCCTCTTTTTTTTTGCCTTGGGACATTGCCAGACGACGATAAGGCAAAATCATCGTCACGTCTTTCGCTTTTCCTCGCCGGAGATCCGCGGATCCCGTCCGCGAAGCGCGCCGTTTCCCGACCGAAATCGAGGTCGCTCCGCTCCACCGCGAAGTCGCGGATGGGATCGCACGGCGCTGGGCCGAGGGTTCCGCTTCGTTCGCTCGAACTGCGTGGAGGACATGAGACTTAATCCGAGGACTTCCAGTTCTTTCCTTCTCGTTAAGCTTTAGCATAGAATGTCATTTGATTACTTCTTTTTTTCGGGCTGTTTGAGTTCTTCATTGGCAACCGGAAAGAGGTTATTTATTCACATTTATCGGACAGGTCGTGCCCCCCCCCCCCCCCCCCCCC